CCGTTTGACAACACCGAATGGTTTAGCTCAGAGAGTCAAGATAGATCCGGATCTATCTAGACGGGCAAGGTCCGAGTTTGTCAAGATGGATGCATCTTCCGTACTGTTTCCCCGTCTCGATCTTGATTACTTCAGAACCATTACGTGTGGAACGTATCAGATATCTCTGGCTCCTGGTTACATCGCCGAACATTTAAGTGATGACGGAGACTATGAGGTGTGGCTTTACCAGCACTCCCCAGACCTTCTCCGATGTCAAATACATTCTTGACACAAAAGCCAAACGAAATATAACGTTTGGATACGGTTCACCGTTTCACCCGATTTTGAGGCCCCAATAAAGGACTACTACTGCCAGTGCCCAGTTGGAGAGAGAACGATGGGAATGTGTGCGCACATCTCCAGTATCTTGTACTACCTTGGGTATTACAGGACGCTGGAAAACCCTCGACCATTACAACCACAGGTAAAGAAATTCCGACAAAAGTATGTTTGGGGCTCGATATGAAAGATCCCCGTTACCATGTGACTAACCAAACTTATAAATATAGGTATTATACAATCGCCCGTAGCTATGAACACTCCCGTAAATGCGAAAACCAACCAAAATCATAAGGAACACGTTTTGTTTGTTGTTCTGTCTATTTGTCAGCCAATGTCTTCAACCACGGGGACTTGTGAAGTAGCCATCTTGGATTTTTTTATGAAAAAGTGTTTCTCTCACTTTTTTTCATATCTGTGTACATATTCTCAACATACCGAGCAAATACTCTCGTTTTTTTAATTATCTAAAGAAAGTCGAAAATCGGCCATTCAACCATAGGCTAATTCAACCCAACATTTGAAAATGTTCCACCACTTACATTTTGATGATTTTTCCTCTCATCAATAGCATATTACGTACTATTTAATAGGATAAAAATTGGTTTGCATCCAACGCCCGTAAAAGAGTGTATTCTCTAAAAAACACAGTTTTTGTGTCTAAAATGTTATCATCGAAAATGGCATTTTTGAGATTGTTTCTTCCATAAAACAGCCAAATGGCGCGATGGAAACATGATTTTTTGTCACAATCATGCCATGAATGTATTCTTTACGGTGACTATCATTTGATTAGATTTTCATTAATATTTTACATAACATGTACATTTTATCAACACTTAGACAGCTTCTGAAAGGTACAACTTTGAGGAGCCATAAAAAAACAAACCAAGTGACCTAAATCTTTATAATCTATAGATTTGTGACCACAACGGCATGGGCAATGCACCACCAACAGTTTTGGAAACCGGCCCTTTATCGATAATTTGGGTAAACACATATTGTATACCTAAATGATAATGAATTTTAAATGTATCGATTGTTACTGTTATATATGTCATTAGTAATTATTAATAGTTCATTTCTTTTCCATTATTTCCAAACGGATACTGCTTTGCTGTTTTCTGAGTTATTCAAAACTAAATTCGTTTGTATTTGCTGAAAATTGTTTTTTTCATCTGTAATTGTTGCTTATAACTCATTTGCTTTGAACATGGATTTTTTATTTTGATTTATGTATTAATGCTAAGTAATTTATTTCTTAGCATTTGAAGCAAAATAAATAATTTGATACGAACAGATTTGAACGCTCCATGGCAAGGCGTGGACAAACCGTGCTCATTGCGTGACAGATATTGTTGTCCCTTTTTTACCAGAGTTATGACACTTGGACTATACTGTTCTGATAAATTTCCAGTTTCCCTCACACAGCTGGATGGGAAAAATGAATTGAATTATTTTTAAAAGTTAAAAGTTTCAAAGACCTGCAGCAGAGCTGAACATTTTTGTTTTGTTTGTTTGTTTTTTTTTTATTATTATTTAAAGAGTCTATAGATTTATACCTGCTCTGTTTCCTATTTCATCAATGATGTCAGGACTATTAAGGACGTCTCTCGTGTAAGCGTGGTGAGTGTGAGTTTGTTGGAGGCTACGATGTGCGATAGTGAAGCGATCTTTACAAGACTACATGTACACCACTGGAGGACACTGCTCGCGTGACATCCAAACGGTTATTTCAGACTGACAAGCGTTAAACTACATGTAACATTCCGTTGAGTTTTAAACAGACAGAAGTTATGTTACTCTCGTACACTTGGGTATATCTCGGACAGGAGACCCAAGCCTTCTTACCTTACCGATAGGACCGAACTCTCAACTAAGCCAGCAGTTTTAAGGAAGACAACAAGAAGGGAAAAAAAAATTGTAGATAAAATCAAGTTTCCCATGTTTGTGGTAACCTTAAATTCTCAGACTCATAAGTGACACGGAACACAGATATAAAAATTACATATGTACCTGACGGTCATACGAGTGATATATTTTTAAAAAATTAAAAAAGTTACATAACTGAAAGACATGCAATACATCGCTGTGTGCTATCGATTACAACGTCTTGAATAGTTTATTTTTAGTTTTCATTATAAACTCACGTAGAGGCGTCATGCGGCTTACCTTGAAGTCGCCAGGAACATTTATTTACTTATGAAGGTTAAGTATGCCCAGACACAGACATCATTTTTTCTGAGAAGGAAGGCTGAGATTAGTAAACAAACATGCTTAATTTTAAATCATTTAAGATACTTATTCAGCTGATACAAAAACAACACTTTCTTCAAAGCAGTGCCATTTATATCAAACATAAATGCAATATCAAGACGCCTACTGGTCCCGTTATGTTAACTTCTCCACTACTTTAAACGTATATAAAAATAAACACAATGGAAATACAGACTTGTCTCAAGAATTGTAATTCAAAATCAAATTCGATGAAACTAAGCCAAGATACAGAAAGTTAAAGGAGAATAAAACCAGGTGTTCTGGAAGAGTATGCGTCTTCTGCTTCCTTGGCGACACACGGCATTTCAAACTTGGTCAATGCAAGTAGGTAATTTGACTGTTCAAAATATCTCACTGAAGTAGTGACATTGGGAAACAGCCCTTGAATCTATAACCAGCTGCAACATGTAAGCACCATAGGCTGGGATGTTGGAATGCAGAAATGGATAATATTTACAGCAGGGAAAGTGAAGTCATGTAGTCTGGTGGAAAGTTGGTCCTGTTGGTTAAGTTGCAGGGAAAGATTGAAGTAAAGGGTTTATCCTATGGTCTATTTGTGTATCGTACGAACCAACCAACACAAACGAAACGTCACGTCAGGTGTGGAACCATGTCATGGCCAAATTTTGATCTGCAGTGCTGAATATTTCATTGTTTGATGTCGAAAGGCATGGCATGGAGATATGCGGGGTAGATGAAACGGGTAAATTTTACTGTCACAATAAAACCTCATTCAGTAACGGAGTATTGTCATGTTGTGTTCAATATGACGACCAATGCATCATTTATATATATATATATTATTTACGGCGATCGTTGACGATGAACTAAATAAAAGGGAAAACGATGGTGTAAATCGTGATCTGTTTTCTCACTGTGTACTCCGGCGTACTACTAGTCTATCCGAAGTCGTGTGTTTCTCTGGCGAAGAAAAATATTTTATTAATCGTTTTGATTTACATTACTTAATTTTAAAGTGACATTCACTTGTGTGTGTTGATATACAAACTTAATGTAACATATACTTTCTTGCTACAAAGCACGTCTAGACCCCTTAAGTCGTTCAATCTCTCTGAACTTACAAATATTCGGGGAAAATCACATCAAGCTTTGCTTTGTTACTGTTACTTTTCAGCATTGCCTCATCTCTGAAGTGTTCTTCTCTCTTATAATGTGTGAGAGCACGATTCAGTTACCTTGTATAAATATTTAAGTAATGATAAAGATGTAGATTTCTTCGAAGATGTAAAGTGATACATTTGTTTAGAAGTCGGTAACACGATGTCCATCTACATGTCACACCTATAAATTTCTGTTGTTGCATATATAGGAAGATTATATATCTGCGGAATTCATATATATATATAATAATCAGAAACACGATGTGCATTTAAGTGTAAGGCCTGACAGTCCTGATGTAAAGCGTCTGAAGATTAATACATGAAAGCGCTCATGATTTACACTTAAATGCACATCGTGTTTCTGATTATTATTCTCATATATTGAACCGGACACTGAGCTGTTGATATTTTCCTTATATATATATATATATATATATACATGTGACAATCCTTTCTTACTACATTCATACTATATGTAATATGACGTAATGATATTCACGATGCTATATATAATATGACGTATTGATATCCACGATGCTATATGTAATATGACGTAATGTTATACGTGATGTTTTCTGTAATATGGTAATATTAATAATAATATGTAATGAGATCCAAGATGCTATATGTAATATGACGTAATGGTTTCCACGAGGATATATGTAATATGACGTAATGATGTCCGAGATGCTATATGTAATATGTCGTAATGGTATCCATGATGCTGTATGTAATATGACGTAATGGTATCCATGATGCTGTGTGTAATATGACGTAATGATGTCCATGATGCTACATGTAATATGACGTAATGATATCCACGATGCTTTCTGTAATATGACGTAATGATATCAATGACGACATAAAGGTAGCGACATTGTTGTTTAGCATAGGAAATTCAAGAATGAAAGGACTAGTGATTTAGATCACAATCTTTTCAGTCTACCCATATGATGCATATAAGCGTGTGGAAATAAATCCATTCCGTGTTTCTATGTTAAAACTTTCTGGGTTTTAGTCTAAAAAGCCAATTGTAATGATATTCTGTTAAGCACACGTGACTTTAATATCAAAGTCGGAGCCGATTGGCTTTTGTCACAAAACACGGTCGGTGTCAATGACCTCGTAATGTATTTCTACGGCATTGTAAGGGGTTGTACACATACCCAAACCACGTGATCTCTAATGGTTCAAACATCTATGTATATATATATATGCATCTCACTTCGAGGGCTGATTGCTAAGTATCTATTGCGTTGACTCCACAACCACAGTGAAGCCATGGAGACGAATGACTCCGGATGGATGACTACTGTCGCTTTGGCTTGTACAGTGATCATTACGGGTCTTATGTAAGTGTATTAAACCTGTAAACAATGTTAAAACGATGGTCGATCTCCTTTCTACTTAATCGGAATTTTAAAAACTTTACCCGAATTTGGTTTTATAATATCTTCTTTCTATATGAGTGATTTTATCAGATTTATTTCTTTGATGTTTTTAAAGCAAGTCTGTGATATGAGGTTAATAAGTATCTTAATTTATTGAAAAACCTTCAGTTCGCAAATCGGCATGGCATGACCGTTAAGCTGAATTCAAGCTTACACAGGTCCGGCTGTCTGTATGTCAGAATGACCTCGCTCTGTCTACATATGTGCCTGTGTATTATGTACGTTTGCTATTTATAGACCGGCAAGCTCGGCTGTAGTGTGTACGACCAGATCAATATACACTATGAATGGGCGAATATTTGGTGAATTGTCAATTTAATGTTTTTAAGTCAGTGTTTGTATCTTAATTCATTCGTTCGTTCTTCATTCATGAGATTCACACATTCGTTCATTCATTTACCGACTTGTGAGTTTGGTTGTAAGATTTAAGTTTAAAAAGACAGGAAAATCAGGAAAACGACACAAGAATGTTGTTGTCGTCGTCGTCGTTGTTGTTGTTGCTGTTGTTTTTGTTGTTGTTGGTATTGTTGAAATACTTCCGATGTAGTGTAATATTTAAAGATCATTATATGACCATTTCGGTTTTTTACTCCTTGAAATTTTTATCCGTATTTTGATCAAATCGAATTTGATTTTAAATTACAATTCTTCTGACATGTCGGTATTTTCATTGTGTTTATTTTTCATATGTAACTGCTCGCCACGTGAAATTCGACGAAACTAGGTCAAAATAGGGATAAAAATGTACAAGGACTCCAGTGGAGTCATATCATATCATTTTTATCATATGTTTTTACAAATTTTAAACAAATCACACAAAATTAATAATCTTTTGAATATAATCTATATTGTAACAACTTTTTACTGATATTCCTAGATATAACAACACAATTATGTTTATAAAACCAATAAGAATTGAGGTGCCCTAGTAAAATTTAACATGTAAGAAATTCCAATAAATAATCATTGCATCGCTATCATTAGTTCTAGACGCGATGCAGTTGCACATATATCACTAATAAGGGAAACCAATCCGGAAATGGCACCATCCGGAATTTCGATGTGGGATCCTAAATTAGTTTTCGTTAGAAATAAATGGACACATTTCTTCATGCCAAAAATGAATATGTTCAAATCAAACAGCGACAAACAAGCGAAAACGGCAAAATATTTTTTTTTTAAAAATGAGAAGGGTTGTGATTTCACTTTTGAAGGTAGTGTGATATCACTTCAGGTGGTGTGATATCACTCCGGCTGAGATCAACATGTGGGGATTTCAGGCTGATCACACATACAAACACGGTGTTATCGGTAGTAAACATTTTATATAAATATATTACTATATATTACTAATACCGCATTTTGTATGTGTGATAGAAAGTGATATCACACCCCTCCCCGCTTCTGTTTGGGGACATTACTCCTGAAAACATTCATTATTAGCAGTTATTTATTCCAAACTGTACAAACGACCCTTTTTCATGTTAACTGGAATACACCACATGTAACTCTGAAAAATGTTTACCGTTATTCCGGAATTTTGGTTATAATTTTGCATATTGATATCAGGTTTTAATAGTCGTCAATTATCAGAATGTGTCGCACGTGCTCTTGGCAATACACAGTATGTAATCATGAATAACAAAGGAAGTATCTTTATCATCTTGTTACATACGATCTGTTGTATATACCATTTAGCTTAGGTAGCAGGAACCACTTCATTTATATTCTTTCCAGAAATTATTGATCATGTTTGAGATATACAGGTATAGCAGATTGGTTATGAAAAATGCATCATTACATGTATATATATTTATAAACTACTTAACAATTACAGTAATAGCATAGAAATAACAAATTGTGTAAATAAAAAATTTCATCTAATTTCTGACGTGATTGCCATGGTTACCAACTCAAATCATGTTAAAAATGCAAAAATACTGCTAATTGCAAGCTAACACTACAACTTTTTCCAAGTCATTTATTTCCGAACACCTGTCTTAAAATCACTGTCATGGTAACACACTACTTACATTTCAGCGAATTCAAACTCGAAACGCTTTCACAACATCAACACGTGTAAACACTATGAAAATTTCACTTCCTGCTAAGCTAGTTTTTGGTGTGTAGACACAAATATGAAATCTCACAGGATCCACTTAAACATGACAAGACTGATTTTGGCAAGAATTTTATTTAAACTTTTAATTAAAATCTTTATAATGGGAAATCTAATGAACAAAATACCACCCAAGGTCACACCAAGAAACTGTGTACTGCTACTCTGCTACAGAAGGAGCTGCCCAGTATACGTTTTATATATTTTAACAGGGTCGCTTGCCAGTATATGTTTTATAAATTTTAATAGGGTCGCTGGGCAGTATAGTCAAAACAGGTTACAGTAAACGCTTCATGTGAAATACTAAATTTCATGAACTTTTCAGATTTTGTGACATCATACTTCAAAATACGAGCCAGTGTTTTGTATGTATTTTATATCAATATATTGATGGATTGGTATCAGATTTAATTTATATGATGAGATAACCAACTCAAAACAAATATTAGAACATTCACTCCTGTCATCCTGGGCGGATGAGAGAATTGTATAATGTGGAAAATATAATCATATTTAGCTTCAAATTGAAAACAGACCATTGACAAATGTCAACTGGGATTTTGGTCGTGAACTGTAAAGGTTAATGTAATCCCACAATCAGGAGTTACTATTAAGGCGCTTTCACTGTCCTGGTTTTTATTCCGTTTAAATGTTTACATAACGTTTCTTCATAGCTGAAAATATAAATATTGTTTTATTATGATGTACATGTGTGCTGAATTCTGACACACTCTAGATACTTGTCATGCTCCAATTGCTATTATGTTGATAATATATTCACCGGCTTCACAGCGAAACCTCACACAGACGACTTCTAGAGTGCGATGTTATACGCTGTTTTACATACCTGATACGGTATACTGTAGCACACATTTTGTTGGTGATTCCCTGCCTTATGTCGGTAGGTTTCAGGGATTGAAAACTTAGATGTGTCACAAAAATTTCATTAAAGAACATTCACCTGTTTGCTTTAGTACCCACAATAGCCAGGGTGGTATAAAACGATAGGTATGGAGATGGGGGGCATTTCAATATATTTACATTACATATTCACTGTTCATATTTACAGTATATATTTACAGTACATATTTACAGTACATTTTTACAGTACATATTTACAGTACATATTTACACTATATATTTACAGTAAATATTTACAGTACATATTTTCTGTACATATTTACAGTACATATTTTCTGTACATATTTACATTACATATTTACAGTACATTTTACAGTACATATTTACTGTACATATTTTCTGTACATATTTACAGTACATATTTACACTATATATTTACAGTAAATATTTACAGTACATATTTTCTGTACATATTTACAGTACATATTTTCTGTACATATTTACAGTACATATTTACAGTACATTTTACAGTACATATTTACTGTACATATTTTCTGTACATATTTACAGTACATTTTACAGTACATATTTACAGTACATATTTTCTGTACATATTTATAGCACATTTTACAGTACATATTTACTGTACATATTTACTGTACATATTTTCTGTACATATTTACAGTACATATTTTCTGTACATATTTACAGTACATTTTACAGTACATATTTACAGTACATATTTACAGTACATATTTACTGTACATATTTTCTGTACATATTTACAGTACATATTTTCTGTACATATTTTCTGTACATATTTACAGTACATATTTTCTGTACATATTTAGAGTACATATTTACGGTATATTTTAACAGTACAGTTTTACTGTAGATATTTACAGAACAAATTTATATTATATATTAACAGTACATATTTTCAGGACATATTTACAGTACATATTTACAACGTTTGACAATAACTCTGAAGGCTGAATCTTTCATGTTTGTGCATATGCTATTATTTTCACATTACACATATATATGTTTTATATGTATTTAAATGCACTATCGTGTTAGCAATGTAAACAAATGAATGTTATAATTGGTGAAACATATAGTGAGACTTCATACATCGTGTCGTAAATGATATCCTTTTAATGGTGCTAACATTTATACCGAGACAAGTCGACATGAGATTCAAATTAAAAGGCGTATCGCGTTATCACTTTGTATAGTTTTGCTGTTTATATGTTGACACCCTAAAATTGTCGTTAAATTTGTTCTGATGAATTTTGTTTACTATATTTGCCTGTCCTTGGTGTCTGACCACGAACGTCTATACAGTATGAGCAGTTTATCTGTTATTTATCTCTATTGTCTCGTATTCCAAGCTTGTATTGATATGTGTTATTTACGTGTATTTCATACTCTCTTTGTCCATTGTGGGAACACGTGAATAACAAAGATTCAAAGTTTTATAGAATTCAGTCTCTAAATATCGGCATTCTATTGACTCCTTGTCTGCAATTTAAGATTTATTACTGATTAATATATCAATTTTCTTTATTTCACAGGGCTTAGAATTTCCTTGTTTTTGAAGAAAAATCTGCTTTTTGAACACGTGATTTGACTTTAAAAAATGTTAACCTTTAACTAATGGTATAAATACTATTCATAAGTTTTTAATCAGACACGAAACCAACAAAAAAGAACCAGTCAGAGGAACGGGAGTTAGAATTTCGACTTATATCTCTGAGAAATAGGGATATACACACTTTTCTTTGGATTTTACAGATATCACAAGAGAAAAGCCATGTTACTTCGGAGATACGGACTTCACGGCCCAGCAGCATTACCAGTTCTCGGAAATATGTTGGAACTTATAAAGACGGTAAGTATGTTAAAAGTCAAATGTTCAAGGTCAAATGTCTGTATAAACATCGAAATAAAACATGGCTGTAGAGATAAAGTATTGGTTAATTATTGCTATGGAAATCACGGATAAAAGCCGAAATAAATGCGACACAGACATCGGTAGTGTATTCAACTGTACAATGAAGTTTTCCACAAGTTTACTGACATGCAAATTTTTAAACTGAAACCATAAAGAAACCTGTCATTGTCTGTGTTCATTATAGACAGCGTTCCTATATATGGGAGGTGGGCGTGTGTAATGTGTGTTCGTGTTTTTATGAATCTGAGATAAATACCAGTAAGCCATTTTGTAAAAGTACGAAACTGATGCCAAGTTTATAGTGTTACCTCACTGAAATATTCTGTCGAACGCACACTACATGACATCACTTCCGGTCACATAATACTGACAACGTGCAGCATGATACTCTACCATGATCGTTAATATAAACCATTTACACATTGCCAGAAAACGTGTATTTATCGAAATTCACATACGGCGATTAGATTTGCCTGAGTCTGTAACGACTAGAACGGCTGTAAATGCACGATGTTTGTTTACATCCTAATTTTTTTATAACCGTTGTTTACATGTAAACACACCTGTGCGGAATCTAGATGCAATATTACGTTATATACATGTCTGATAAAAAAATGTTGAGATGCTAAAACGGAGAGTTTGATATGACAGGTATATATAAACATGTTCACATAGAACTTAGACATTGACCATCTGTCAAGACACCTGTACCTAGAACACAAGCAATGTAAAGCGTGGATACTATAAACAGGTCAATATATGGTAAACCATAACACAGCTGGACTTTGTCCATATTGAAACGTTGGTGGTGAAGACTAGGAATTTTAAGTAATATAAAGCCTAGGTTTATTATTCTTTTTGTAAATTAATAGCTGATTATACAGCAGGAAACATTTTAAAACTGTCGACATATTTCTTATAAAATTTTAAAATTAGCTGTCGACCGCTTGACACTGATAAATTAGTATTATGGGATATTTTGACAAACAGCAAGTGAATTAGCCAAAACATGTGTTGATATGTCCTAGATCTTTTTATACGACAAAAAAGGTAGATTTTCCAACAAGACTAGTCGTCATAAATGTACCTACATTATATTCTACTGAAAACAGTTTCATCTTTTCTGCATCTTTCTACCAGTAAACATTAACATTGTCTAACGTTTGGTCTATATAACATTGTCTAACATTTGGTCTCTATAAACATTAACATTATCTAACGTTTGGTCTCTATAAACATTAACATTGTCTAACGTTTGGTCTATATAACATTGTCTAACGTTTGGTCTCTATAAACATTAACATTCTATAACGTTTGGTCTCTATAAACATTGTCTAACATTTGGTCTCTATAAACATTAACATTGTCTAACGTTTGGTCTCTATAAACATTAACATTGTCTAATGTTTGGTCTCTATAAACATTAACACTGTCTAACATTTGGTCTCTATAAACATTAACACTGTCTAACATTTGGTCTCTATAAACATTAACACTGTCTAACATTTGGTCTCTGTAACATTGTCTAACGTTTAGTCTCTATAAACATTAACATTGTCTAACGTTTGGTCTCTATAAACATTAACACTGTCTAACGTTTGGTCTCTATAAACATTAACACTGTCTAACATTTGGTCTCTATAAACATTAACACTGTCTAACGTTTGGTCTCTATAAACATTAACACTGTCTAACGTTTGGTCTCTATAAACATTAACACTGTCTAACATTTGGTCTCTATAAACATTAACATTGTCTAATGTTTGGTCTCTATAAACATTAACATTGTCTAACGTTTGGTCTCTATAAACATTAACACTGTCTAACATTTGGTCTCTATAAACATTAACATTGTCTAATGTTTGGTCTCTATAAACATTAACATTGTCTAACGTTTGGTCTCTATAAACATTAACATTGTCTAATGTTTGGTCTCTATAAACATTAACATTGTCTAACGTTTGGTCTCTATAATCATTAACATTGTCTAACGTTTGGTCTCTATAACATTGTCTAACGTTTGGTCTCTATAAACATTAACGTTGTCTAACGTTTGGTCTCTATAATCATTAACATTGTCTAACGTTTGGTCTCTATAAACATTAACACTGTCTAACATTTGGTCTCTATAATCATTAACATTGTCTAACGTTTGGTCTCTATAAACATTAACATTGTCTAACGTTTGGTCTATATAACATTGTCTAACGTTTGGTCTATATAACATTGTCTAACGTTTGGTCTCTATAAACATTAACGTTGTCTAACGTTTGGTCTCTATAATCATTAACATTGTCTAACGTTTGGTCTCTATAAACATTAACGTTGTCTAACGTTCGGTCTCTATAATCATTAACATTGTCTAACGTTTGGTCTCTATAATCATTAACATTGTCTAACGTTTGGTCTCTATAAACATTAACGTTGTCTAACGTTTGGTCTCTATAATCATTAACATTGTCTAACGTTTGGTCTCTATAATCATTAACATTGTCTAACGCTTGGTCTGTATAAACATTAACATTGTCTAACGTTTGGTCTCTATAATCATTAACATTGTCTAACGTTTGGTCTCTATAATCATTAACATTGTCTAACATTTGGTCTCTATAAACATTAACATTGTCTAACATTTGGTCTCTATAAACATTGTCTAACGTTTGGTCTCTATAAACATTAACACTGTCTAACATTTGGTCTCTATAATCATTAACATTGTCTAACGTTTGGTCTCTATAATCATTAACATTGTCAAACGTTTGGTCTCTATAAACATTAACACTGTCTAACATTTGGTCTCTATAATCATTAACACTGTCTAACATTTGGTCTCTATAATCATTAACATTGTCTAACGTTTGGTCTCTATAAACATTGTCTAACATTTGGTCTCTGTAAACATTAACACTGTCTAACATTTGGTCTCTATAACATTGTCTAACGTTTGGTCTATATAACATTGTCTAACATTTGGTCTCTATAAACATTAACATTGTCTAACGTTTGGTCTCTATAAACTGTCTAACGTTTGGTCTCTATAATCATTAACATTGTCTAACATTTGGTCTCTATAATCATTAACATTGTCTAACGTTTGGTCTATATAATCATTAACATTGTCTAACATTTGGTCTCTATAATCATTAACATTGTCTAACGTTTGGTCTCTATAATCATTAACATTGTCTAACGTTTGGTCTCTATAATCATTAACACTGTCTAACATTTGGTCTCTATAACATTGTCTAACGTTTGGTCTATATAACATTGTCTAAAGTTTGGTCTCTATAAACATTAACATTCTATAACGTTTGGTCTCTATAAACATTAACACTGTCTAACGTTTGGTCTCTATAACATTGTCTAACGTTTGGTCTGTATAACATTGTCTAAAGTTTGGTCTCTATAAACATTAACATTCTATAACGTTTGGTCTCTATAATCATTAACATTGTCTAACGTTTGGTCTCTATAAACATTAACACTGTCTAACGTTTGGTCTCTATAATCATTAACATTGTCTAACATTTGGTCTCTATAAACATTAACATTGTCTAACATTTGGTCTCTATAATAATTAACATTGTCTAACGTTTGGTCTCTATAAACATTAACACTGTCTAACATTTGGTCTCTATAATCATTAACATTGTCTAACGTTTGGTCTCTATAAACATTAACATTGTCTAACGTTTGGTCTCTATAAACATTAACACTGTCTAACGTTTGGTCTCTATAAACATTAACATTGTCTAACATTTGGTCTCTATAAACATTAACATTGTCTAACGTTTGGTCTCTATAAACATTGTCTAACGTTTGGTCTCTATAAACATTAACATTGTCTAACGTTTGGTCTCTATAATCATTAACATTGTCTAACGTTTGGTCTCTATAATCATTAACATTGTCTAACGTTTGGTCTCTATAACATTGTCTAACATTTGGTCTCTATAACATTGTCTAACGTTTGGTCTCTATAAACATTAACACTGTCTAACGTTTGGTCTCTATAACATTGTCTAACGTTTGGTCTCTATAACATTGTCTAACGTTTGGTCTCTATAAACATTAACATTGTCTAACGTTTGGTCTCTATAAACATTAACATTGTCTAACGTTTGGTCTCTATAATCATTAACATTGTCTAACATTTGGTCTCTATAATCATTAACATTGTCTAACGTTTGGTCTCTATAAACATTAACACTGTCTAACATTTGGTCTCTATAAACATTAACATTGTCTAACATTTGGTCTCTATAAACATTAACATTGTCTAACGTTTGGTCTCTATAAACATTAACACTGTCTAACATTTGGTCTCTATAAACATTAACATTGTCTAACGTTTGGTCTCTATAACATTGTCTAACGTTTGGTCTCTATAAACATTAACATTGTCTAACGTTTGGTCTATATAATCATTAACATTGTCTAACGTTTGGTCTCTATAAACATTAACATTGTCTAACGTTTGGTCTCTATAAACATTAACATTGTCTAACGTTTGGTCTCTATAAACATTAACATTGTCTAACGTTTGGTCTCTATAACATTGTCTAACGTTTGGTCTCTATAAACATTAACACTGTCTAACGTTTGGTCTATATAATCATTAACATTGTCTAACGTTTGGTCTATATAATCATTAACATTGTCTAACATTTGGTCTCTATCTCATAATCATTAACGTTTATTGTCTAACGTTTGGTCTCTATAACATTGTCTAACGTTTGGTCTCTATAAACATTAACACTGTCTAACATTTGGTCTCTATAACATTGTCTAACGTTTGGTCTATATAACATTGTCTAACGTTTGGTCTCTATAATCATTAACATTGTCTAACGTTTGGTCTCTATAAACATTAACGTTGTCTAACGTTTGGTCTCTATAACATTGTCTAACGCTTGGTCTCTATAACATTGTCTAACGTTTGGTCTCTATAAACATTAACATTGTCTAACGTTTGGTCTCTATAAACATTAACACTGTCTAACATTTGGTCTCTATAAACATTAACACTGTCTAACATTTGGTCTCTATAATCATTAACATTGTCTAACATTTGGTCTCTATAAACATTAACACTGTCTAACATTTGGTCTCTATAAACATTAACACTGTCTAACATTTGGTCTCTATAAACATTAACATTGTCTAACGTTTGGTCTCTGTAAACATTAACACTGTCTAACATTTGGTCTCTATAAACATTGTCTAACGTTTAGTCTCTATAAACATTAACATTGTCTAACGTTTGGTCTCTATAATCATTAACATTGTCTAACGTTTGGTTTCTATAAACATTAACATTGTCTAACGTTTGGTCTCTATAAACATTAACACTGTCTAACTTTTGGTCTCTATAATCATTAACACTTTCTAACGTTTGGTCTCTATAATCATTAACATTGTCTAACGTTTGCTATTTGAAGATTAATGGAGAGAGAATTAGAATCTATTTTAATCGCTTGACTATTGATGTTTAGGTGAGTATTGAAAGAGGAATGCTTAGGTTAAGTTGCAAAGCCTGCCGAGATGGCGTTACCATTCACTGCTAAACGTTCAACACTTGAGCACCTCAGTATGTACGAAAGTTGTAAATGCTTGCCGTATCATTTATCATTTCATGCCTTATCAAATCTTCAGGATAATTTGACTAGACATATCAGGCAGTCAGACTGGTAGCTGTAACAAATGTGAAGTACGTTGTCAGTATAACGGGGTCTTCAGTAGTATACTTCACTATAATAACAATAAAAAGCCGGTTACAGGTCCGTTTAATCTCAAGGAGACTTTAACGAAGACATCGCAGCCTCTACAAACATGCACTACCACTGTATGTACTTCCCTGATATCTAAGGGGAGGCCATCCTTAAATGACCATAACTGTTGATTGGACGCTAAATATCAAAATTAACTGAATTTAACAAACTCCCAGCGAATACCTAAAGGGTTCAAGACATAAAACACCGACACGAGAGACATCATACTCCCCATATACCTGTGCAGTCTGTAATCGGTCAATGTGCGAAACTGTGGTCGTCTAACCACCTTACCAATGCGCGTGCGTCAATCCACCAGCTATCATGTCAGTCGTAACTATTAGATACGCGTATTCTTGTAATTATGTACGTAATTAATCGCTAATTACTTGATATGATATTTAAAGGGGTTATTTTACAATCAATCACATGACTATAGACAGACATGCCATATATGATGCTCATATTCGTCCATTCTGATCTCCCAGAGTTACGTCCCTTCTTTCATACGATCAGATGATATAGCGATGAGCTTGGCAGCCGATAGGGACCACTATACTGTATCTTAAGTGATTCAAATGGCTCTTTACGCTACACAGAAAATTGATTCATGATGTTTGCTATAAAAACCTATTGTTTATGTTATCTATAATATACGAATGAACCAGAATAGTCGTTAATTGTTGATTAATCGTATTGTTTCAGGGGACCACTGCTTTGGAAGAAAAGTGGCTCAAAGAATATGGCAACGTATTTGTGTAAGTGGAATATATCACTTATTAACAATACCAAATATTCACTGTTTTTGGATGCATCAGATATTGCACCAAGAGGTTATACTGTAGTTAAGCAAGCCAATCCACACGATCATAATATATGTATTAATTCTGCCGAGAGATATTAATTAATATGGAATTCTGACATTTTCTTATGTTTATAGATATTTTCTGGGATATTTTTTTTGTTTATACTATAAGATTATTTTATATGTGTGTCTGTAGGATATTCTACTCGAGTGTCACAAAAATCTGTAAAGTTTTTGGCTCTGACAACGATTTTACTACATTTTCTTGTCCCTAGGAAGGATTGTACACAAATAATAAAGAATGTTTTTCTTTCTCTCACTTAAACTTTAAAATATTCAAACAAAATCTGACCGAGCAGGACGCCATGTTTTCATTTTAAACAACATTTTCCCTAGTAAATTAAATCAAAGGTAACAAAAACAATCATTTTCATCACCACTTCTCAACAGAAAGATTTAACACAAAAATGACGTCAACAATAAGTATTAGCTTTAAATGTCAATATTTGCATAAATCCTGATTTAACATTTGACTGGAGATTCGGCACGACCATGTGAAGCGTCGCTGTATACATATTAAAATGTAGTTGGATATTATCATGATTGAAAACAATTCCTTTCGCTTTATTTCCTTTTTTTCTTACTTTTATCTATTTATTTGATTCCTTTTTTTCATCAGTTAACATGTTTTTGATATTTGTACACAGATGGTATTTTGGATGTATGCAGAGTATCACAGTTAAAGACCAGGATATACTCAAAGCGGTCCTGATCAAGGATTTCTCTAATTTCTGTAACAGAAAAGTAAGTACACTGTTAAACAGGTGAAGTCAATTAGAGATACAAAACACGGAACAATAATCAAATAATCCAAACTGAAATTTCTCGTCCGTATAACGTTCTTGTTAGGTCCCCGACAGGTTCTTACTGTGTCTAACACGTCCCCGACAGGTTCTTACTGTGTCTAACACGTCCCTGACAGGTTCTTACTGTGTCTAACACGTCCCTGACAGGTTCTTACTGTGTCTAACACGTCCCTGACATGTTCTCACTACGTCTAACACGTCCCTGACAGGTTCTTACGGACACGTCCCTGACAGGTTCTAATTGTGTCTTCCCTGACAGATTCTTACTACGTCTAACACTGACAGGTTCTTACTGTGTACGTCTAACACGTCCCTGACAGGTTCTTACGGTGTCTAACACGTCCCTGACAGGTTCTCACTGTGTCTAACTCGTCCCTGATAGGTTCTTACTGTGTTTAACACGTCCCTGACAGGTTTTTACTGCGTCTAACTCGTCCCTGACAGGTTCTTACTGTGTCTTACACGTCCCTGACAGGTTCTTACTGTGTCTAACACGTCCCTGAAAGGTTCTTACTACGTCTAACACGTCCCTGACAGGTTCTAATTGTGTCTAACACGTCCCTGACAGATTCTTACTACGTCTAACACGTCACTGACAGGTTCTTACTGTGTCTAACACGTCCTTGAAAGGTTCTTACTACGTCTAACACGTCCCTGAAAGGTTCTTACTGTGTCTAACACGTCCCTGACAGGTTTTTACTACGTCTAACACGTCCCTGACAGGTTCTAATTGTGTCTAACACGTCCCAGACAGATTCTTACTGTGTCTAACACGTCCCAGACAGGTTCTTACTACGTCTAACACGTCCCTGAAAGGTTCTTACTGTGTCTAACACGTCCCTGACAGGTTTTTACTGCGTCTAACTCGTCCCTGACAGGTTCTTACTGTGTCTTACACGTCCCTGACAGGTTCTTACTGTGTCTAACACGTCCCTGAAATGTTCTTACTACGTCTAACACGTCCCTGACTGGTTCTAATTGTGTCTAACACGTCCCTGACAGATTCTTACTACGTCTAACACGTCACTGACAGGTTCTTACTGTGTCTAACACGTCCTTGAAAGGTTCTTACTACGTCTAACATGTCCCTGACTGGTTCTTACTGTGTCTAACACGTCCCTGACAGGTTCTTACTGTGTCTAACACGTCCCTGAAAGGTTCTTACTACGTCTAACACGTCCCTGACAGGTTCTAATTGTGTCTAACACGTCCCTGACAGATTCTTACTACGTCTAACACGTCACTGACAGGTTCTTACTGTGTCTAACACATCCGTGACAGGTTCTTACTACGTCTAACACGTCCCTGACAGGTTCTAATTGTGTCTAACACGTCCCTGACAGATTCTTACTACGTCTAACACGTCACTGACAGGTTCTTACTGTGTTTAACACGTCCCTGACAGATTCTTACTGCGTCTAACATGTCCCTGACTGGTTCTTACTGTGTCTAACACGTCACTGACAGGTTCTTACTGTGTCTAACACATCCCTGACAGGTTCTTACTGTGTCTAACACGTCCTTGAAAGGTTCTTACTACGTCTTACACGTCCCTGAAAGGTTCTTACTTTGTCTAACACGTCCCTGACAGGTTTTTACTACGTCTAACACGTCCCTGACAGATTCTTACTGCGTCTAACATGTCCCTGACTGGTTCTTACTGTGTCTAACACGTCCCAGACAGGTTCTTACTACGTCTAACACGTCCCTGACAGGTTCTAATTGTGTCTAACACGTCCCTGACAGATTCTTACTACGTCTTACACGTCACTGACAGGTTCTTACTGTGTCTAACACGTCCCTGACAGGTTCTTACTGTGTCTAACACGTCCCTGACATGTTCTCACTACGTCTAACACGTCCCTGACAGGTTCTTACGGTGTCTAACACGTCCCTGACAGGTTCTTACTGTGTATAACACGTCCCTGACAGATTCTTACTGCGTCTAACATGTCCCTGACTGGTTCTTACTGTGTCTAACACGTCCCAGACAGGTTCTTACTACGTCTAACACGTCCCTGACAGATTCTTACTACGTCTAACACGTCACTGACAGGTTCTTACTGTGTCTAACACGTCCTTGAAAGGTTCTTACTGTGTCTAACACGTCCCCGACAGGTTCTTACTACGTCTAATACGTCCCTGACAGGTTCTTGCTGTGTCCAACACGTCCCCGACAGGTTCTTACTGCGTCTAACACGTTCCTTTTAATTCCTTACTACTCGCGCTGTCATATGTGCACTATGTCAAATATGTTCTTACTTTGATGTGAAATACTTTTCTACGCATACCCTACGAACCTATCACGCTCTACCTGCGTTCGAACTTTCTCTATGAATCCTGCTTTAATTCAACCATTCTAATGACAGAGGTCTTGCCAACATTGGAAAATGTGGCGCGAAAACGAACACGTTCAAAGCAGGCTGTGCTGGAAGGGGCAGAGCAAGGTCAAATGTGCAACTATTGCGTCTTTAAGAACCTGCTGTCCTTGAATCAAAACAAGGCGACGAAGTAATTTTCTCGATTCTGTATTGCCCTTTTCCCTAGTAGTTGTAGCGACTTTAGTCCAATATTTTACTGTCTGTTCTCTGAACATTACATAGACCCAGTGAAAACCAGCTGAGTCATTCACGTGGTAAGGGCCGCCTGAACGTACTGACGACATAATGTGATCTTCTACAACGTGGCACGGGTGTACCATGGTCATTATATAAACACAGGAAGGTCGTATAGAGATGTAAGATCACGGGGAGGTCGTATCGAGAACTACATTTCTACTACGTCTTTGAAGTCCCTGTTAGGTTTTTTCTTTACGTCATTACAGCATCAGTAACGTCATTATTACGTAATTATTGGGCTCTTACTGTGTTCTGATCTGACCACGTCCTCGCTTTACGTCCGTGATGACTATACCACGTCCTTATCGGAATCTCGCGCGTTCTTGATACGGAGTTCAAGTTCTCACCTCGTCCCGGAAAAAATCCATGACTTGGTTGGATGTATTGAGAACGTGACCGAGTGTGAAAGTGTGGGGGTGGTGTTTAAAGCACATACATGCATTTATTTGTCTGTTTATTGTTGGTTCAAAATTAATTATGGAAAAAGACGTTTAAAGGACATACACTATTATTTTCATGCATTAAAACTTGTATTAATCTACTGAAGATCTAGGACCATCATATGAAAAGAATTCAAATTTTCTTATTTGATTCTGTAGACCTGTTCCAACAATGTATTTGCTGTTGATATATGTTTTTAATAATCACTTAATCAATTACCTCCAGATGTTAGATACGTCACCTTGTCCACTCGATAAAGGTATTTTCTTCCTGAGGGACACTGACTGGAAGCGGGTTCGATCTATCATGAATCCGACATTTAGCTCCGCAAAGCTCCGAATGGTAAGACAACTAATTAAACCTGCGATGTCGCTCCTACCGAACAGTTATGTAAATATAGACCACTTTAGCAATATGATAGACATGTGTGTATGTATTTTATAAAAACGACGTCGAGAAAGGAATAGTAAATGAAAATACTTAAATGTAATATTACCCAGGATGTCTCCTTGTTCGAAATTAGTACGAGAAAAAGAAATAAAAAAACGTATTTCACCAAAATGTTAGTAAATATTACACTGTTTTTAAGTCTGTCAGAGTTATCTTTCCTTCCCAGATGAGTGACGACATAAATAGATGTGCTAGACACCTGGCAGAAAACTTAATGCGTTGTACCGAAAAAGACGAAAGTATCGCCATAAAAGAGTAAGTGATGTGGAATATCAGTTGTACACCTGCTGGTTCCGTTGTTTTTTTTTTGTTTTTTTTTCTGTTCTCATTTGAGACATAATGTTTCTGCGATGAGATGAAGAGGACGGCTACTCTTCCGGAGCACACGGTCTTATTCCCGTTGTACTTCTTCCGGAGTTTCCGAGTAAATCTTTCTTTCAATCTTTCTCTGGTTCATATTTAGCCTACGTTTAATTGGGGTTTATTATATACCATGTTGGTGTGTTCTTTGTTGATTTACTTTGATATCCACGTCGGTAATCTTATTGTTTCATCACTTATTGTTCCTTAATCATCCCCTATCATATGATTATATTTTATATGCGTGTGCAGAATTAACAAACCTGATATGTTTTGGAATTTGAGAAAGCAAATACAACGTGTAGTGGTCATCATATTGTTTTATTGGTTTCACGTATCAGTGACATTAAAATAAAACTTCTAAACATTACTGATTTATATACTGTAGGGGTTTTAAAACAAGTAATTTACGAGTTTAAGTCAAAAGACATTAAAATGTTAGAAGTAGTTTATTAATTATTGTTAAAACAAGTGATTTACGAGTTTTAGTCAAAAGACATTAAAATGTTAGAAGTAGTTTATTAATTATTGTTAAAACAAGTGATTTACGAGTTTTAGTCAAAAGACATTAAAATGTTAGAAGTAGTTTATAAATTAGTGTTAAAACAAGTGATTTACGAGTTTTAGTCAAAAGACATTAAAATGTTAGAAGTAGTTTATAAATTAGTGTTAAAACAAGTAATTAACGTGTTTTAGTCAAAAGACATTAAAATGTTAGAAGTAGTTTATAAATTAGTGTTAAAACAAGTAATTAACGTGTTTTAGTTCACAGAGAGAGTTTAACATTAAATGCTTTGGCTTTATACTATTATTTAAAATATCAAAAAATTTAGATCGTCATGTAATTGTGTATATTCTGAACATTTCCATCATTGGAATGAATTAAAATGTCGCTAGCAGGATTGTTCTATATTAATCGTCCTCACGGAAATATTGACCTGCTTTTATGTTTTTCAGCTATTACGGAGCGTTTACAATAGATGTCATTTCAATGACTGCCTTTGGACTGGATGTGGATTCTCAGAAAAATTCCGACAATAAACTAATTAGCCATATGAGAAAGATATTCAATAACGCGTCAGTTCCTATTCCTGTGTTTTTAAGTGGTAAGATGATTCTTTACATCATAAAGAAAGTCAAACAATCATAGGATTATTTATAAGTTGTCCGGTTTTACTGCACAGAAGTATGAGAAAGATGAAATAGTTATGTAAGATTCCAATGAACCATTCTACTTCGATCTTAATTTAATGACACTGAACTTTCATCATTTGTATACATTACAATTCATATGTATCGTCGTCAGCCGTCATGCTCTTGGAGGCCATAACAGGGGTAATTCTGAAATCCATTAACATTGTTCTGTGTGTAACAGCGACATTTGCTATAAGTGGCTCAACAAGGGAAATAATTTTTTATTTATAACTTTTTGCTTTACATATTTGGTCACTTTTAGAATAGAAACTAACAAATCAGTGCAGTTAGTCTTGTCAGCTTTACTGATGTTAGACAAGTTTGATTTGAAACTTTCATAACACATATAGAGGTTATATATTTATAGATTGACAATTAAAACGAATCTACAATATGATCAATCAATACATATGGGTAGCATCAAGTATTGATTGAAATTGACGACTTATTTGACCTGTGACCTTGGGTGACCTATATTGATTAAAACGTGTGACCTTTGATGACCTATATATTGAACTTTGACACAGCTATGTCATTTTAGAATATATGCAATGAAAACCTGTTATATCCATAAAAAGATGACCAACTTTACATTTTTCCTAGAATTGAAAGTTATGCCATGCATTGATGACCAATAGATCTGTGACCTTTGTTGACCTTTATAATGCTATATTAGACCCCCTAAATACAATTGACTTCTTCTTGAAGAATAACTTACATTCTCATGATTAACAAGGTCATTGACTTATTTGATTACACGTATATACCTTAATCAATGAACTGTAACGTCGGTGTTCAGACTCGTTGTCCTTTTGTACATTCTTCTCTGATTAATACGAATTCTAAGTCTAATTTTCAACATTTAATTTTCTACACAGCCATATTTGGAGATTGGATGATAAACCTACTAAAGTATTTAAAGATATGTTTCTACCCACGTGACTCTATGGAATTCTTTAACAGAGAGGTACGGATGATGATAGAGGAGCGGAGAAGAAACCCCTCAGTATGTATTACATTCCTACTTCCATAACTTACATAAAGCCAGGAGCCATCAACTGGTGTGTTGTTTGTGTACTTCCACTTTCACCATATAATCTCTCCTAGAGTTGTCGTTCCTTAGATTACAATATATCGCCATGGCGCTGTAAACAAGACTGTCAAAAAACATACGATTGAATAACACTTAATGATTGTTATAACAAATATAGTTAAAGCTGTGTAACATTTATTGTCCTGTCAAATACCAAGGTTTGATGTTTGTCTTAGCGAGAACATTTCTTGTGTTATTAAGTAGTTGTGATAAATCATGTCCTGCTTTATAAAGGAAGAATTTTGTAAAGGGTTTGATTGAGTTCTTTCATGTATAATCATCTCATAGCTAGACTAGTCTAATGACCCTAACTTATACTCATGCACATGGTAATATTCAAAATGCCAGTTTCGAATCTAATTAGATATCATTTAATTATATCGAAGATTTTTTATCATTCGCTGAAACAGAAGATTAAAATCAGCCTTCAATTATATATATTTATTTTCCAGGACCGAACAGACTTTTTACAACTGATGTTAAATGCGTCATTGGAGACATCGGATGCGAATGCCAATGAAAAGGCTGAAAGAAAAGGTAAGAACATTCACTTGTGGAATGTGTTACTTTATATCATACTAAATAAAATAGTAGAAAGTTTACATAAATGATTGTCTACAAGACTCTCCACATCTTGATTGGAGACACGCTGACCTATATGAAAATGGAGGTGTCCTGACGGTTCCAACATGTGATCCTTGGATTAAATGCCTGTTTTTGCATTTGACTTCCTATTTGGAAAGAAGATGTTTAAACGTTGCTGGAAATATATTATTTCCATGCAGGTAGATGATTTGCAGTGAAAAAGAGATAGAAAAATATTCCTTTTTGGTACAAGTGATTTGATGCTGCATTCAGATGGATGATATAACAATGTATCTGTTGTCTGTCGATGATGGATGACGTAACAATGTTGTCTGTCGATGATGGATGACGTCACAATGTTGTCTGTCGATGATGGATGACGTAACAATGTTGTCTGTCGATGATGGATGACGTCACAATGTTGTCTGTCGATGATGGATGACGTCACAATGTTGTCTGTCGATGATGGATGACGTAACAATGTTGTCTGTCGATGATGGATGACGTAACAATGTTGTCTGTCGATGATGGATGACGTAACAATGTTGTCTGTCGATGATGGATGACGTAACAATGTTGTCTGTCGATGATGGATGACGTAACAATGTTGTCTGTCGATGATGGATGATGTAACAATGTAGCTGTTGTCTGTCGATGATGGATGACGTAACAGTCATGTCTGTCGATGATGGATGATGTAACAATGTTGTCTGTCGATGTTGGATGATGTAACAATGTAGCTGTTGTCTGTCGATGATGGATGATGTAACAATATTGTCTGTCGATGATGGATGATGTAAGAATGTAGCTGTTGTCTGTCGATGATGGATGATGTAACAATATTGTCTGTCGATGATGGATGATGTAACAATGTTGTCTGTCGATGTTTCAGTTCTCACGACAGATGAAGTCATTGGACAGTCGTTTCTGTTATTCCTCGCGGGATATGAGACAACAGCTAGTCTGCTTAGTTTCAGCGCCTACGAGATGATGTGCAATCCGGAAGTACAGGACAAGATATATGAGGAGATCGTCGAGCAATTAGGAGACGTAAGACAACTCCATCATTGATACCTTTAAAGTTTCTGTCAAAAAACCTATTTGTAAACTGAAAGAAGGCGCGTATTTCTTGTTTTTTTGTGTCTTTTTTTTTTTTTTTTTTTTTGCAGTTTCATGCTACTACGCGCATTCATCCAGTTAGCAAAAATGGTTTTCTTCCATATCAGCACAAAACAAAACTATATTTCTTAAAGCTTGTAATTAATTACTTCGATAAGATTCGAGAACAAAAAAATAACACCTTAATAATTTAATGAAGGATTATTTTATATCATATCACTACGCATAACATTTCTTGTGATATGACATGACGTCACAGACAGCTCTTTCGCGCCATTTTCAGTCATCCAAAATTAGTATTTAAAACATATATCAAATAGTGTTTACATGCAGCTACCAAAACTGAACAGCAAAAATAATATCCTAAAACAACTATTTTCATCTTCAATCTCTTTACAAAGGTTAATTATGACACAGTCCTCAAAAGACGTGGTGGTAATTTAAGAATGTAGATCTTTAAAAATCCTAATTGTACAGACTACTATTGCCTTGATGATGCACAATTTGACAAACGGTGGGAACATTAAAGATTGATACTTCGCGAAAACAATGGTTTTCATTTATGTATAATTTACAAGACAGTACAAATGACAGATAATAGCGCCTTTCGGTACTAATTTAGGGTTAGAAACGGTAGAGTTAAATAAAGAATTCAACTTGTAGGTACGTCTATAACTAGAAGCCATGATTATTTGTCATAATATTTAAACACGTTACAATATGCAAATGCGTTAAAAAGAGTGTAAAAAATAACAGCAAAACAGTAAAATTTGTATTTCAGATATCACCTGAAATCTCTAAGAGAGTATACCTGACACACAAGAGATACAATACAAATTTAATGTTAGATAAAGCAGAGCATAACAATAAGTTGAATTGTATCATACAGCTGTTTAGGACATCTCTGTGATACTAAGGTATCAGTTTTCCTTCCGATTCACTTGTGTGCCTTTTGTCTTTGAAAATGACAATCCTTACGGTAGATGTGACATTGTTTGGGAATGGTGATAATTTGCCAGTTGTCGCCCTTTATCGCTGACCTTAGATATTCTACCTTCTATTTCTACAGGAGGAGCCTACGTATGAAAACATTGGTAAACTGAAATACATGGAACTTGTTTTATATGAAACACTTCGTCTGTATCCTGCTCTGGCAAGGTAAGGTCTTCATTTACTACTGTTTTACCACAAAAATGTACTATGTATACTATTGTGGTAGGAACTGCCCTACACGGACCTTGTTGGTTGTTGTTGTATTGTGTTGTACTAGATGTTGATTGTCAATAGTATCACGTAATCTGTTTCTTTGAACTTCCGGTCTAATAAAAACCTGCTGCAGTGGTCACCACGACCATACTAGGAATTCTTCTTATCTTGATTTTGTTAACACATGATATATATATTAATTAACTATTTCAGTCAGTATCCTTGCCTTGTCATATAAACACATAATATATATTAATTGACTGTTTCATTCAGTATCACAGCCTTGTGACATAAACACATGATATATATATTAATTGACTGGTTCAGTCAGTATCACAGCCTTGTGACATAAACACATGATATATATAATATATATTAATTGACTGGTTCAGTCAGTATCCTAGCCTTGTGACATAAACACATGATATATATATTAATTGACTGGTTCAGTCATTATCACAGCCTTGTGACATAAACACATGATATATATATTAATTGACTGATTCAGTCAGTATCACAGCCTTATGACATAAACACATGATATATATATTAATTGACTGGTTCAGTCAGTATCACAGCCTTGTGACATAAACACATGATATATATATTAATTGACTGGTTCAGTCAGTATCACAGCCTTGTGACATAAACACATGATATATATATATTAATTGACTGGTTCAGTCAGTATCACAGCCTTGTGACATAAACACATGATATATATAATATATATTAATTGACTGGTTCAGTCAGTATCCTAGCCTTGTGACATAAACACATGATATATATATTAATTGACTGGTTCAGTCATTATCACAGCCTTGTGACATAAACACATAATATATATATTAATTGACTGGTTCAGTCAGTATCACAGCCTTGTGACATAAACACATAATATATATATATTAATTGACTGGTTCAGTCAGTATCACAGCCTTGTGACATAAACACATGATATATATATAAATTGACTGGTTCAGTCAGTATCACAGCCTTGTGACATAAACACATGATATATATAATATATATTAATTGACTAGTTCAGTCAGTATCCTAGCCTTGTGACATAAACACATGATATATATATTAATTGACTGGTTCAGTCAGTATCACAGCCTTGTGACATAAACACATAATATATATATTAATTGACTGATTCAGTCAGTATCACAGCCTTATGACATAAACATATGATATATATATATTAATTGACTGGTTCAGTCAGTATCCTAGCCTTGTGACATAAACACATGATATATATATTAATTGACTGGTTCAGTCAGTATCACAGCCTTGTGACATAAACACATGATATATATATATTAATTGACTGGTTCAGTCAGTATCACAGCCTTGTGACATAAACACATGATATATATATATTAATTGACTGGTTCAGTCAGTATCACAGCCTTGTGACATAAACACATGATATATATTAATTGACTAGTTCAGTCAGTATCCTAGCCTTGTGACATAAACACATGATATATATATATTAATTGACTGGTTCAGTCAGTATCACAGCCTTGTGACATAAACACATAATATATATATTAATTGACTGATTCAGTCAGTATCACAGCCTTATGACATAAACATATGATATATATATATTAATTGACTGGTTCAGTCAGTATCACAGCCTTGTGACATAAACACATGATATATATATTAATTGACTGGTTCAGTCAGTATCACAGCCTTGTGACATAAACACATGATATATATATATTAATTGACTGGTTCAGTCAGTATCACAGCCTTGTGACATAAACACATGATATATATAATATATATTAATTGACTAGTTCAGTCAGTATCCTAGCCTTGTGACATAAACACATGATATATATAATATATATTAATTGACTAGTTCAGTCAGTATCCTAGCCTTGTGACATAAACACATGATATATATAATATATATTAATTGACTAGTTCAGTCAGTATCCTAGCCTTGTGACATAAACACATGATATATATAATATATATTAATTGACTAGTTCAGTCAGTATCCTAGCCTTGTGACATAAACACATGATATATATATTAATTGACTGGTTCAGTCAGTATCCTAGCCTGGAGTATGTTATAAGGATCTGGTCTTCATCGCCCTGGACTTTCTCCGTGTTAATCTTTTGTTCATATTTGCCCTGTTTCCATTGATGCTGCGTTTGAACTAAGGTTATACTGTTTAGTTCGGAGTACGATTTCTGGATAATCATCTAATCTTTCTGATAATTCTATACGAGTTATAGGATTTGAGTTCTGATATCACATCATGTTAAGTATATCTATAAATCGAAGATGGTTACTCTTGCTGAACACCTGGTCTTATTCTCCTGGTACTATTTTCATGAATGTCTGTGTAAATATTTAATTTGTTTATATCTTGCCATACTTTCATTGAATTTTAGGTCGGATTAGGATTCTGTTGACATGTTGGTAGTATTTTGTCTTTACAATTTTTTTTTTCAAAATAGAAAAATTCTACTAATAATCAGGTAAGACACAAATATCAATTTCCGGTGAATGTTTGTATTTCAGAATAAATCGTGAGGCTGGTAAGACTATTGAAATAAACGGTGTGACTATTCCACAGGGATCAGCTGTAACTATCCCAATCAGAGCTCTACATCAGGATCCAGAGATATACCCAGAACCCACACTCTTCAAACCAGAAAGGTTGGTGTCAATCACTGGCTTACAACACTCTTTCAAGGAAAATGTCAGAAGAAAGTCAAAAGTATCACTTAAAGCTTAACGGGGAAAGTTTTTAACTTTTTCATCTGTCAAACGTACTTAGCCTTAATACAACGCTATCCGGCACATTGTGGCTCGCGAAGTGCGGCCTACAATGTACCATCTTGACAATGGCAATATGGATGACGAAAGTAAACCGAGACGGTATCATTTGATTTAAGGTCTCTGAACCAATATTTCCCAGTATGATTACTCAGATTAAGCATTGTATGTGTGTGTTTGTGTAGGTTTGTTGACTTTAAGCCGAACCAGAATATCATCAATTTTCTGCCATTCGGACATGGTCCTAGAATGTGTATTGGGATGCGCCTTGCCTTGATGGAAGCAAAGATAGCTGTGACACATGTTCTCCGGAAAGTTAAGTTTGTGCAGTCCATCGACACTGAGGTTTGTTTCTTATATAACATAAGTAATAAATTTGGAAATATATAAAAAAAAAAAAAAAGGGAAAAGAACACACGAACATGTCAACACTATTATAATCCAAGCTCCATAACTCTACGAAGTACGAACAAAATAAATATTTACACGGCAATTCCTGAAACAGATACAAGAAGAATAAGACCATATGTTCCAGAAGAGTAAGCGTCGTACCTGATACAATTTTTAAATGCCTTTAAATGAAAAAGAAAACAGAAATCCAATTGAAAAATATCACAATGGTGTAACAAAATCCAAGTCTGACTTGGTGCTTTTATAAAACCATGATAAATAATAAGATACTTTATTTATTTATTTAGATTCCGATTGTTCTAAAGGATATTGGACTTACGGTACCTAAAAATCCCATCCGGCTAAAGGTTAAACAACGGACATCATGGGAACACTGAAAAGGATGAACACGAAATCTCCGGTGCTTGTTCATTGTGCAAATGATTATGTCTTATGAAAGATATATAGAAACACATGATTTATCCTGTAACTGGCTCTGCCATTGTCGGAATACACCTGCCACATATATTTTTGCTGTATTCGGCAGTGACGGAAAAAACTGTATTTTAGCACGTACGTGAATTCGACAGAAATGTATTCTGAATTTACTTGAAAAAAACATTTAACAGTATAAATTACTATTGAAGGAAGCGATTATATATGTTGTAACGAACAAGTGTTTTATCCAAATTCATTAAGTCGTTTACATATCCGTTGAATTCTGCGCGAAGCAATTATTTTGGCGTCTTTCATCGAGCAAACTTCAGCGTAACGTCAACGTCCAATAAACAAAGATTGAACAGAAAAACGTGAAGTTTTGATGATCGGATTCTCAAACAAAGTTGCAGGATAAATAGAATACTTGGTTAGTGTCTTAAAGTATTAGCTTCATTTTGGCTCAATACAGAAAGACAAAGCGGCTTGCCAGGGGCTCGTCACTTTCTTTTCTCCCCACCCTCGCCAAAATACTGTTTATATTATACATAGACGAGATAACTGATACAGTATTAAGATAAATATTGCTGATGTTGTTACCATTTTGTGTAGTCGTTTACGTCTTTACCTGTAGTAACGTATCTGATCACGCGCTGTGTTGTATTGTATAGTGGTGAGATTTGGAGGAATGGTTTTTCTTATATCTATCTCTGATGAGTTTAAACACTATTACATATAACATATTATACACTTCCAATGCTGGATTTTAGTTCCTGTATTTATTTTGAATAACACTTTCAGAAATACGACCATAACGAAATATTGATTGTCAACATTAACAAACCTGTAACTATCAAGAATTATTTATTACACAACATATTATCATTTATTGTCAATTAAAATATCCCCAATGAACCCTTAAGTTATACATTTTGTATGTAAGACATTTGAATGATTTACGTGTAAACTTGTGTCATTTATAACTACCATAAGTGCCATTTCAATACCTGTATAAACACAGATATGACATTTCGATGTAAAAATAAAGTTTGAAATGAAATGAACCATTATAATGAGAAAAACCTACTTACTTAATCTTATTCCAGTAACAGTCATTTCTCAAAATTAAAATCAAGAATAACTAGCACGTATTCAATATAAAGATACGGTCGAGGTAAATGACCTCCATTCTTCATTTTTTAAAGAACGCAATGAAATTGTAAAAGCCACAGAAAATGTCGTACAATAAATATGGAAAAGGACCAAAATAATTTATGTATGAAAATTATGGGACTCGTTCACCCTTCTACTTTTCGATCTTCTTTTTACGTACCTTAATCACGTCCAAGTGTCCATAGTTTATATTCTTAGCATTTATCAGTCCTAGAAGGACGAAACATGTATGATGTAGCGTCGCTGACAAGTTCTAGAAGAACGAAACAGCTGTATGATGTAGCGTCACTGACAAGTTATAGAAGGACGAAACAGCGCTATGATGTAGCGTCACTGATGAGTCCTAGAAAGACGAAACAGAGGTGTGATGTAGCGTCACTGATGAGTCCTAGAAAGACGAAACAGCGGTGTGATGTAGTTTAATTCATCATTTGACTCTTCTGGATCCAATCTTAATTTTGTATCGAAAGATGCATTTCACTTACATGTTTTTGTACAATTTAGAAATAAGTTTATCTTGGATCTTGACATGGTGGAAATACATTCAGTGAAGAAATAATATTTCAATGTAAACATCTTAGGTGTGTTTGTATTAATGATGATAGCCGATTTTAGAGTTTTCGTTGTGTCTATGTATCAATGATGTATCTATTAATCATTAGACAATCAAGTGAGCATCTTGATGATGCAGTGTTTATTCCTAAATGTCACAATCAACCTCAGATTGGTATTGTTGATCAATCATCCGTTTTAATAATGTATTTAAAATTGTATACTTACTTTATTGTATCAAATGTTACACTGGAAGTTTAGTTCTTTAGTATTCAATATAGATGTTTATAATCACTAGTATTTGTTATGTTTCAATAAACCTGTGCAGAGTAGAGCGTGGTATTTCAGAAATTCTTATTTTCAAACAACAGAACCACAATATCAACAATCATGTAGCGACCATGATACGGAGCTATTCGAACGGCATTTTGGTTTCGATAATGAGTCACACTAATTGAAATTTTTTCATATTTAAACCAAATTTCTTCACAAAAATTTCCCTTTCAATTCACCAATATTCTTCCTTAAACATGCTTCTTCCAAAATAAGATATTAAAAAAGTTAACAAATTGATCAGATGTTCCGTAAGGAATAATGACTCTGCTTCATAGACGACACAGTCCATGTAATCCAGACCAGAACAGTCCTCAATCAGTTGTCATAACAACCTCATCACATACATCTCTAGTAACATTGTTGTGTTGCCGGGCACATGTCAATCATATCGTTTTGAATAAAGAAAAGACGTTAAAGCAACGTTTAAGATAAAGACAGCGAAAGGTTATTAATTCAGCAGATTATGTAATTAGTAATCTAAGAAATATTTCAAACATCTTTTTTTTTTAACTCAATGAGCACGTTTATAAAACTCATTATACAAACTCTCCCATCATGCCCCAGGAAGAGTGATGCCAAGAGCGCGAGTTCCCTCCCTTGGACTACATTGTACTGTGTTGTCCATAAAATCACACGTCGCATGTACATCTATTAAAACAACAGGCTCTTATAATGTAAAGAACGTAATGTAAGTTGAGAGGGGCGGTGAGATGGATAGAGGGGCGGTGAGATGGTTAGAGGGGCACTGATATAGATAGAGGGGCGGTGAGATGGATAGAGGGACGGTGAGATGGATAGGGGGACGGTGAGATGGATAGAGGGGCACTGATATAGATAGAGGGGCGGTGAGATGGTTAGAGGGCCACTGATATAGATAGAGGGGCGGTGAGATGGTTAGAGGGCCACTGATATAGATAGAGGGGCGGTGAGATGGATAGAGGGACGGTGAGATGGATAGGGGGACGTTCAGATGGATAGAGGGGCGGTGAGATGGATAGAGGGGCGGTGAGATGGATAGAGGGACGGTGAGATGGATAGAGGGACGGTGAGATGGATAGAGGGACGTTCAGATGGATAGAGGGACAGATGGATAGAGGGACGGTGAGATGGATAGGGGGACGGAGAGATGGATAGAGGGGCGGTGAGATGGATAGAGGGACGGTGAGATGGATAGAGGGACGGTGAGATGGATAGAGGGACGGTGAGATGGATAGAGGGCGATAGAGGGCATAGAGGGGCGTTGAGATGGATAGAGGGACGGTGAGATGATAGAGGGGCGGTGAGATGGATAGAGGGGCGGTGATATAGATAGAGGGGCGGTGAGATGGATAGAGGGACGGTGAGATGGATAGAGGGGCGGTGAGATGGATAGAGGGACGGTGAGATGGATAGGGGGACGGTGAGATGGATAGATAGAGGGACGGTGAGATGGATAGAGGGACGGTGAGATGGATAGGGGGACGGTGATAGGGCATAGAGGGGCGGTGAAATAGATAGAGGGGCGGTGAGATGGATAGGGGGACGGTGAGATGGATAGGGGGCGATAGAGGGGCGGTGAAATAGATAGAGGGGCGGTGAGATAGATAGAGGGCGGTGAGATGGATAGGGGGACGGTGAGATGGATAGGGGGCGATAGAAGGCATAGAGGGGCGGTGAGAAGGATAGAGGTACGGTGAGATTGATAGGGGGACGGTGAGATGGATAGAGGGACGGTGAGGTGGATAGGGGGACGGTGAGATGGATAAGGGGCGATAGAGGGCATAGAGGGGCGGTGAAATAGATAGAGGGGCCGTGAGATAGATAGAGGGCGGTGAGATAGAAGGCATAGAGGGGCGGTGAGATGGATAGGGGGACGGTGAGATGGATAAAGGAGCGGTGAGATGGATAGAGAAGCGGTGAGATGGATAGGGGGCGATAGAGAGCATAGAGGGGCGGTGAGATAGATAGGGGGACGGTGAGATGGATAGGGGGCGATAGAGGGCATAGAGGGGCGGTGAGATGGATAGGGGGACGGTGAGATGGATAGATAGAGGGACGGTGAGAGAGGGGATAGAGGGGACGGTGAGATGGATAGGGGGAGGGAGCGGTGAGATGGATAGGGGGCGGTGAGATGGGAGAGATGGATAGGGGGACGGTGAGATGGATAGAGGGACGGTGAGATGGATAAAGGAGCGGTGAGATGGATAGGGGGCGATAGAGGGCATAGAGGGGCGGTGAGATGTATAGGGGGACGGTGAGATGGATAGAGGGACGGTGAGATGGAGACGGTGAGATGGATAAAGGAGCGGTGAGATGGATAGAGAAGCGGTGAGATGGATAGGGGGACGGTGAGATGGATAGGGGGCGATAGAGAGCATAGAGGGGCGGTGAGATAGATAGGGGGACGGTGAGATGGATAGGGGGCGATAGAGAGCATAGAGGGGCGGTGAGATAGATAGGGGGACGGTGAGATGGATAGGGGGCGGTGAGATGGATAGAGGGGCGGTGAGATGGATAGAGGGCGATAGAGGGCATAGAGGGGCGTTGAGATGGATAGAGGGACGGTGAGATGGATAGAGGGACGGTGATATAGATAGAGGGGCGGTGAGATGGATAGAGGGACGGTGAGAGATGGATATAGGGGACGGTGAGATGGATAGGGACGGTGAGGGGATAGAGGGGCATAGAGGGGCGGTGAGATGGATAGAGGGGACGGTGAGAGATAGGGGACGGTGAGATGGATAGCGGGGCGGATAGAGCGATGGATAGGGGGCGGTGAGAGGCATAGAGGGGCGGTGAGATGGATAGGGGGACGGTGAGATGGGAGGGCATAGAGGGGCGGTGAGATAGATAGAGGGCGGTGAGATGGATAGGGGGACGGTGAGATGGATAGGGGGCGATAGAAGGCATAGAGGGGCGGTGA